TATGCTGCGTCGGTCCACGCGTCGCCCAGGATGCAGACTGCAAACGAATATGCCGCCTACAACAGGAGACCCCAAACACCTGACCAAGGTAGACCGTTTGACGCGAGAGATCATAGGGGCAACGCAGCTGGATCGCCGCCGCAGGGCATGTACGGAACCCCCGAGCTGTCCCGATACAACACGCCGCAAGCGTATCCGCCGCGTGGTCCACCGATGCCGCCGGCTGAAGAGAGGAGGGAACCGCCGGGACGGGCTCCCCCCAACAACGTGCCCCCTAGGCCGCACAGCCAGCCGAGATCTTATCACGGCATACCTCCGAGACCCGTGGAGATGGGGAGAGGACCGCCGCCCGGCGATCCCATGTATGGTAGGCGAGAAGAGGCGCGACCGCCTGGCCCGGCGGAATACAACCCGGAGAGGCCACCTCGTGCCGTACCCTACGAAGAACAGCGCCGCTTCATCTCAGATCGGGAACTTAGGGAGCAGATGAACAGAGAGCAGATGAATAGAGAGCAGATGAACAGGGAACAGATGAGTAGGGAACAGATGAACAGAGAGCAGATGACTAGGGAGCAGATGAACAGGGAGCAGATGACTAGGGAGCAAATGAGCAGAGAAGCCGAGTTTATGGAGAGGGAGAGGAGAGAGAGAGAGAGGATGCAGTACGAAGAGCAGCGCCCTTTTATAGCCGACAGAGAGCGCATCGAAAGAGAAAGAGAAAGAGAACGCGAGATGGAAAGGGAGAGGGAAAGAGAACGGGACAGGGAGAGGGAGATGGAAATGCGCGAGAGGGCTAGGAGAGAAAGAACCACGTCGGATCCGAGCCGCCCGCACGGCCAGCATCCCGTAGAGCTTGGCCCCCAGATGCTTTCGCGACAGCCGCCTTACGGAAGACCAGACCCCCGAGATCTAGCAGCCTGGCAGCGACCTGGTTACGATCAGCCGCCGCCGCCGCGGGATGCGTATGGTCAGGCTTACCCGGGCCCGCGGCCAGGCGAGTTTCCTTCCACTACAGCCGCGCCGTACGGAGCGCATCCTGCTTATGCGCAGCCTCCTCCCCACGAACGCTTCCCAGCAACCGGCCCGCCTCCCCACGCGATACCTGCGAGCCAGCCAGGCCCGCAGCCTGCGCATCCGTTCGAGTCTCCCGACAGGCATCGGTTTGTCCAGGCGCACCCCCAGCAGCAGCCCCCGCCGCCGGCAGTTCATCGGGGTCGTCCCGCCGAGGAAGGTCCGCCCCCCCCTTCGGTCGCGTATAACGGCGGGCCCGGCTCGGCCGCGTTCGAAGCAGGTCGACCGCGCGTCATGGATGATGGCCCTGCTCCCGCCGGGCACCAGAGAGGCTTCCTCGGCATCCAGGAGATAAACCGTAAAGGACGGGTATCGCCGCTGCCGCAGGCGGTTCAGGGTGCGCAGCCGCAGCTGCACGGCCCCGCGGGTGAGCCTGGGATCAAGAGCGAATTCGGCCGCATGTTCTCCGGCATAGGAAGCGGTGTTCGCGGTATCGGTGTCTCTAGCCCAGTGCCGCCCGTGATGCAAGCCCAATTCTCTAACGCGGGACCTGTGCGGCGTGACGACGAGCATCCCGGCCACGAGCAGCTCCCGGACGCCCCGGTGAAGGCGCCTACTAGAGGAAAGCGAAGAAAGGCTAAGGACGACGACGGCAAAGGTGATGACGATAGCACTGGCAGGATCACGCCGGTCGGTCGGGCTAAGCGTGCTAAGACCCACGCTCATCACCACCATCACCAGTAAGTAATAGCTCTTATGTTCCGTACGCTTCGGCCTGTATTCATTGTAATACTTTTTTTTAGTCATCATCATCACCATCACCATGGCCCGGAAAGAACCACCTCGCCCCCTCAAATAGCCAATGGGCAAATCAAAAACCTCAAAACTAACACACCGATACCATCTCCAACAAACAAAGACTTCCCTAATCTTACTCATCATCACCAACCTCCTAGATCAGCCGCGGCCCCGTCCTCGAAGTCGGCGGCCCCCGGCACCACCGTAATACCCAAGCCGAAGCACAAGATCTCGTCACAGGCGGTTCTCGACAGCGTCGCGGATCGGCCGCGAAAGCACCTCGGCGACGTCGTGTACCAGGTGGCTCTGAAGCCTAGCAAGTTAGAGTCGTCGCATTCCAAGTTCGGCTATTCGTCGAATCCGCGCCCGCTTCCGATGGACGTGATCAAGGGCAACGAGAACTCGACTCTGACGGTGAAGATTCCTCGCGTCCACCTGAGCCCGCCCGCTCGCGAGGAGATCACGTCTCGCCGAGCCGTGTGGGGCACGGACGTCTACACCGACGACTCTGATGTCGTCGCCGCGTGTATCCATGCGGGCTGGATCCGGGGTGAGTGGGGCGATGACGTGGACGTCGATCTGCTGGACCTGTACAAGACAGCTACCACGAAGAAGCAGCGCGTGGTACCCGCCGAGCAGCACCTCGAGGTCTTGACTTCGCCGCCGGCTTCTGGCCCCGTCCACATACCGGCAGACCGCGATTTACACGTGACGCTCCTGGTTCTGCCTGCGCTGGAGAAGTACAACAGTTCGACCCGTTTCGGCATCCAGAGCCGCGAATTCGGCGGGACATATAACGGACGGAAGTCGATACACGATGGCATCAGCTTCATGATTCAAAACGTACGTTGGGTGGACGGCGCCGCGCCGCAGAGCAGGCTTCGGGGTAAGGCGCGCAGGGAACGGATAAGAAAAGCTATGAGCGAGGTCAACCGGAGCCAGGTGATTGATATAGGGGAAAAGGAAATACTGAGCAAGATGGTGACGGTACGGGATACTAGCGTCGGCAAGGAGAGGGGCAGCGGGAAGTCAGCCGACAGCAGCAGCGGAGAGGGCAATAAGGAGAATCGCCCCGCCGCATCGTCTCTGAATGATGCTGTCCCTACGCCGAACCAGGAAAAGCCTGGCATGGACACGAATATGGACTTAGACAGGAATGTTAAGGACAAGAGTGACTCGACAGATAGTCAGAGCACGAAGACAGCAGACACCACCACCGCTACCCCTGCTGCAGGAAAAGAAGCGGAGAGTCACGGAGCGGATGAGTCTACAGGTGTATCTACGTAAAACTTGGGTTCGGTGCCCACCCGTCTTTCTAGGAGAAGGGACCGATAGCAGAGCTGGAACTGTGTATAGTAGGGGGTTCTGACAAGCGCTGCCTTTTCTTCTTTTTTTCTTCTTCATACTTGCACACTCGCGTCATGGCTTTTAAAGATACCTGATACCTGATACCTGATACCTACCTACCTATCCGATCCGTGTTTGCTCTTTCATTCACGTACTTATATGGCATAGCGCGGAGTTCTGAGCATGGCTGTATGTGATTATATATATATTTCCTTGGTGTTGGCTTTATACAAAAAGCCGGCAGTTTGGCATATTTATATACTACCATGTGACGGAAATAGATTCATGACCTCTAACGTATTATGCTTCTTATATAATAAAATATATGATATATATTTCTGAACCACGAGAAGTCTATTTTGCCGAACCAGTTCATAGTACTAGGTACTGGCAGAGCGGATTCGATTAGATTATAGATAGGATACAGTAGCTAGGTAGCCTTTGACTGTTATTACGCGTGGCTACCTATGTATGGAGTTATCCACAATGGTCGTCATTAGGTTACAACACTTCCTATAGCAATAGGGGATCTCAAAGTTTCCTGGGTACCCTTTCTCTCGCGATGGGTTGGCTAGCCCAGATAGGAGAAGAGCGTGTCTTGGTCTGTTCTCACCTCTTCCTAATTCCGTTTTCATTAGCTTAAGACACGCCTGTATAGAATGAGACGTACCTTCTCTCAAGAACTAGGTATCCTCTCCTCTATACCAACCAATTTGAGACATGGCCAATTCGTAGCCGATTATCAAGGGAATCAGCTAGCTCATAATTGGAGATTGCATCTTCTCTTCCTTAAAAATCGGTAACCCGGCCGTTGAAACTATAATCACCGCTAGCTCCCCAGCGAAGGGGCTCGTTCTTGGGTCCGCCGACCTCGCCGGTCTTGGGGTTGACGTCTCCCTCGAACTCGGGCGGGGCGCCTTTCCGAAGCGGCACAGACCCTAACTCGTCGTTCAGTGCCGGCGTTTCGGTAGCGCTACCTTCAACCATAGGTGAATTACTGGCAGCCGTGGTAGTTGAGGTATTGAGAGAGGCGGGAGTGGTGAAGTCGGGGGTCGAGGTTGGGTTGAAGCCTTCCTGGGTGTTGGCCGTGCGCTGCAGTCGCTCGAATTCGGCTTGCTCGTCGGGTGGAAGACGAAGTGGAGAGGGTGTCGACTGGAATAGATTGGGGTTGTTGGAGGCACAGCGGATGAGTTGCTGGTTTCGTAGGTATGGGAGTATTATTGGTAGTGTTGAAGAGTGCTGCGAGAGTAAGAGTGGTTGTCTCGCAAGCCGGGTGAGGCGGGTGAGGCGCAACGCCATTGTGACGATGTAATTCTGCTTATGGTGTTTATTTGTAACGAGGTCGAAAACGTGCCAATCTGTCAATTTGTCGAAAGGTTAAAAGGGTTATTAGTTTTTAAGTGGTTGTCGTCTAGAATGTGGCGATGACTGGAATTTCTCTTGCTAAATGACGAAATTGGAGACAGAGTTTCGGGTAATGCCGTCCGAGTTTAGGATGCGCTAATAGACAGGCGGGTTTATCTCGGTACGGAGCTACATAGGTACATTTCCAATTTCCTCATTCTCTTAGAAGGACACATCTGATTGGCTCCATGCCTGACTGCATATGTGCACGAAATAAATTTTCTGAATTATTATAATCATGTGTAGGTATTGAACGGCACATACAATAACGTACAATACCGTACAACTTACTTACTGGTTATGTAGGTAGAGTATAGATAATGTTACATCTTAGACACAATATATAGTACATTCAATCATCTTGAGATCTATAGCCAGTAAATACCTAGTAGTGAAAATTCTTTCCAAAAAGAATTATGAGAGAAATGACAAAAATGTATCGAGCTCAGCAGGGATCGAACCTGCAATCTTTAGAGGACTGGAATACCTTACAAATCGTAGAGGGAACCGAAATCTAACGCCTTACCATTAGGCCATGAGCCCTCGGTGGGATTCATAGAAGCTGTTGGAATATTGTGCGCTGAAACTCAAACTTATATCGCTGTAGCCGGTGGGCACGAGCTGGACCGTCTGAGTGGATCAGTCTAATAGTACTGTGGGTATTTGGGGATTCTAAACCTTCTAGACTCCTCGACTATTTCATGAATGGACACGATATATGCCACTATAACGGTAAGAGCTTTCACGTACGACCATAGGATCTGGACAGCTCGGGATCCCGTCCGCTCTCCCCTTGATAAACCAGATACCGCTGGATTAGTAGTTGGGTCGGTGACGACCAGCGAATCCCCGGTGTTGTACGTTTGAATCTCTTTTATCTTTTTTATCTTTTTTATCCTCTTTACACTTTTACCTTTTTACCTTTTATGAATGTCTTGAGGCTAAAGTAGGGCTTCTAGTCGTTCAGGGCTAGATCTTACTCAGAGTCCGAGGAGTACCTTATTACATACCTGGGTAGCTATAATACGACGGTAACTACACTTCTAATGGCAGTGCCCATGTGGCCAATAAAATTTTATGGATTTAGATCTTTACATGTAGCGAATGACGTTACCCCTTGCATGGTTTAAATTTTTACTAGACTAGGATCGGATCCGTCCCCTAGGAATATGGGTCAGATGCAGGTGGGATGGCGGGGTTGGAAAAGACGACTCACAAGGTTCCGGTTATCGCTTTCGCTTTCAATGTTATCGCTCTTAGGAAAAATAATAGGTACCGAAATACTTTATATCCATAGGTACATATTAAAACATCGTGTGTTGACTCAGACCAACAAACTTCCTCCATAAAAGATTCAACTCTACCCCCCCAAAGCTACCTCTGCTCTTCCCTTCCTACTGCAACCAATTGACATAGTTTGAACACCATGGAGGCTCTCAAACAAACGTTCAAGCGCTGCAAGGCAGAGAATCGGGTATGATTCAAATTCCTCCTAACTTGCTTATGTCGTGCATATACGTATATGCACGCATACACACAGACACATATACACATGCGTCGTCGAATAGTCATAATATAGCTACGATCCCATATCATCGTTGACTAACTTCAGATCTTATAATATAGGCTGCTCTGGTTACCTACGTCACCTCCGGTTACCCCAGACCTGAGGATACGCCGGGAATCTTGCTGGGAATGCAAAACGGCGGTGCAGGTATGTTGTGGCAAATAGCCATAGACTGATGACGACAACGACAACGACAACGACAACGACGACGACCGGTGAGCGTGAGAATAATTCGCTAACTCATAAACCTCAGATATCATCGAGCTTGGTGTACCCTTCACAGACCCGATCGCGGACGGCCCAACTATCCAGACGTCGAACACTGTTGCTCTCGCCAATGGAGTCACTATCAGGTCCACCTTGGATATGGTCCGCGAGGCCCGATCAAGAGGATTGACCGCCCCGGTTCTGTTGATGGGCTACTACAACCCCTTGCTCAGTTACGGCGAGGACGCCCTCTTGCGTGACTGCAAGGAGGCGCGCGTAAATGGGTTCATCGTCTGCGACCTGCCGCCTGAGGAAGCTGTCTCTTTCCGAAAATTGTGCAGCAGGGGCGCGTTGTCGTATGTTCCCCTGATCGCGCCCGCGACCTCCGACGCTCGTATGCAGATCCTATGCGCCCTCGCCGATTCTTTCATCTACGTCGTGTCGCGCATGGGTGTGACCGGTGCTCTGGGTACCCTCAACGCCAACTTGCCAAGCCTTCTCGAGCGCGTCAAGAAGTATAGCGGCGACAAGCCGGCCGCCGTCGGTTTTGGCGTGTCGACGCGCGAACACTTCCAGTCCGTAGCTTCCATCGCCGACGGTGTAGTCATAGGTTCGGAGATCGTCTCCACCCTCCAGAAGGCCGAACCTGGTAGCGGTGCCAAAGCCGTCGAGGAGTATTGTGCTTACGTAAGCGGGCGGACGTCACAAGAGACGACGCGGGAAGTAGGCGTCATCGAAGCCATAAGCGCCGCCAAAGAGCCTAGCGGTGAGGACGTGACGGTCAACGGAGTGATTTCCGAGCATGACGATGCTGCCTTGGTTGCCCAGCTCGCGGCCCTCCACGGCAAGATCCCGGAGCGGTTTGGCGAGTTTGGCGGCCAATACGTCCCGGAGTCCCTCATGGACTGCCTGTCCCAGCTGGAGGATGGCTTCAACGACATCAAGGACGACCCGAAATTCTGGGAGGAGTATAGGACTTACTACCCCTGGATGGGACGGCCGGGCCAGCTCCACCTAGCTGAGCGCCTGACCGAATACGCCGGCGGTGCTAACATCTGGTTGAAGAGAGAAGACTTGAACCATACCGGATCTCACAAGATCAACAACGCTTTAGGACAGCTTCTGCTGGCGAGACGGTTGGGTAAAACCAAGATTATCGCCGAGACCGGTGCTGGCCAGCACGGTGTGGCAACTGCTACAGTCTGCGCCAAGTTCGGTATGGAATGCACAGTCTTTATGGGCGCAGTAAGTTTTTATATTGCCTATTCTCCTCTTCTTGAATAAGGAAAATGACTCACAATTTTCGTAGGAAGATGTCCGGCGCCAGGCACTCAACGTGTTCCGGATGCGGATGCTCGGTGCCAAAGTCATCGCGGTCGAAGCCGGCAGCAAGACTCTGCGAGATGCCGTCAACGAATCGCTTCGGTACTGGGTCGTTCACCTCGAAGACACCCACTATATCATCGGGTCTGCCATTGGTCCCCATCCCTTCCCTACCATCGTCAGAACCTTCCAGTCGGTCATCGGCAACGAGACGAAGGCGCAGATGCAGGAGAAGCGGGGCAAGTTGCCCGACGCCGTTGTGGCTTGCGTCGGCGGAGGCAGCAACGCCGTCGGCATGTTCTACCCCTTTTCCAAGGACCCTAGCGTCAAGCTGCTAGGCGTCGAGGCTGGCGGAGACGGCATCAACACCTCGCGACACTCGGCCACGTTAACGGGGGGTACCAAGGGCGTGCTACACGGTGTAAGAACGTACGTTTTGCAAAATGAGTTCGGGCAGATCTCGGACACGCATTCGGTTTCGGCCGGACTCGACTACCCCGGTGTCGGACCCGAATTGGCAAACTGGAAGGACTCCCAGCGGGCCAAGTTCATCTCGGCCACCGACGCCGAAGCCTTCATCGGCTTTAGACTTATGAGCCAGATGGAAGGCATCATCCCCGCGCTCGAATCGGCTCACGGCATCTATGGCGCCATCGAGCTGGCTAGGACGATGAAGAAGGACGAAGATGTGGTTATCTGCCTCAGCGGCAGAGGTGACAAAGACGTCCAGAGCATTGCCGATGAGTTGCCTAAGCTAGGACCTCAGATCGGATGGGATTTGCGGTTTTAAGGAGAGCAGGAGAGCAGGAGAGTAGGAGCAAAAGTATAGATACATAGATGCCCTACATGTTTGGGCGCGGGCAGTGACTTTCGAATCTGGAGTTTGGGCGAGGGTTATAAAAAATTAGAGAGCATGATATGATACATGGTATTGGGCTACATTTATGAATCTGTATCTAGATGGATTTTGTACAACTTGATTTGCACGGTTCAATGCCACCTATGTTCCCTTCACTTCAAGACGGATATCTAAGTTTTTGATTTTTATCTAGAAAGTTAGACACGAGTTAATTCATGGCCCCGGTCCTGGCCCTGGTGTCTTTGCGCTCTCCTTTGGATTTTCTTCTTTCATGAACTCGATTTCCTTGGCAGCTTCGTCGGCCTCCTTGATGGCCTGGGCTTCTTCATCGAGTATCACTTCCTCGCCTTCCTTCACTTCGCCTATGACGAACTCGTCACCGCGTTCTATCATGCCCTCGACCTCGCTTAATACGGAATCGGACGTGAACCCTCCAGCGGCGAGTTCGCTGGGAAGCTCAGTGCTTTTAACTTCTTTTGGCGGAAGACCTAAAACGACGCGCTCCCGGGCAAAGCGCTCCTGTATGGCGGGCGTCTGGATGATCTTCCAGCGAAGGGCCCAGCCGGCGGGGCCTAGGTCCTTGATCCTCCGCGCCTTGGAGCCGAGGAGGTATTCGTCGATGCCGCCGTGGCGGTCGATGGTTCGTAGGACGCGGGCGGTCAAGCGAGTGCGGATGAAGGCGTTAAGGCTAGGGGACCAGAGACGCTTGGTGTGACGATTGGGCAGCCAGGTGGTGCGCGACTTGTTGCGGTGCTCCTCGGCCACGACGTTGCCGAAGCGGGTCTTGGAGCCGGCGAATAGACCCTGGTTCGCTTGCTTATACGTCCGGAAGGGCCCGTACGGGTAGTCGGGGACCTGTTCCGCGGGCACGGTTAGGTACGAGGGCCTCTGCCGCGATAGAGGGGCTGTGGTGCTGAGGGCGCGGGTTGTGTTATATATCGGCGCTTGGAAGGTGGATGATGTATGCGAGGGGGTAGATGCGAGTATCGTCGAGAGGCAGCATCGCGTCGGGGCGGCTGGAATTCGTATCGGGGGCATCTTAGTGAGCCGAGTATGCAATCGACTTTATGGTGTCTGTTCTCTGTTCTGGATGTATTATAACAATGCCATGCCCCAGAGGAGTAGGTGGAGTCGGAATGGTGGAATTGACTCGATATTTAGAGCTTCTAGATTGAATGCAATTGAAGATTTCTTATCGTGCGATTATTAGATATCGGGGCTTACATAAAATGTAATAATGCATTATATACGAGTATCGATTCCAAGATTCTTTAGTATTAATTACGTCAGGTGACACCGCTCCACCCTCGCGACTTTCAAGCTTCTTATCGCTTTCCTAGCTCTTTATCAGATGGTCGCGGGGTTGATTCACCGCTTAAAGTACCTTGGTATCGCATCCATGTGCAGTAGATGTATTAATTAATATAAATTATTCAATTCACCTTCAAATAACTCTGTCCACGTCAAACAGCTAATCCTATCGCCAATTAGCAAATATCTCACAATGTTACCCCCAATAGACGAAGCCATACTCCGGAATAATCCCGACTTCGATCGTCTATATAAGACCGTAACCGGTTCCCTCCT